AGTATGTGCTTTTCGATTTTCTACGCGCAGCCAAGGCAGGCTGGCTCGAAGCGCCTGTGACTTGACACCGCGAATCAATGCAATGCGTGTTGTGAGTCACCAAATAGTATCGAAGGCGAAGGCGAAGGCGAATAAGCTAACGATTTTCGAAACTTTACAACAAACGGTCGTAACCTGACGAAATTCAACTTCTCTGCGTGACAGTGGAATGTGAATTGTTCACTCATAAGACATACATAACCTTCATAACTGAAGCTGTGAATAGCTGGTTGATTCATGGTCGAGGGCACTATTCAAGGTCAGTGTTAACCATTTAACACTTCAGTGCTACACACACCGCAGCGCTTTCAGAACACAACTGACTCTGTAGACAGTCCGCATCGGACGGAGAGACTAACAATTGTGATACTGTTCAACACGCCCTTTCTAAGGAACACTCCTTCACTCAGGGGAACGTGTCTGTAACTGACAAACACCAGTGAAGACTAGGTTTGGTAAGGGAGTCCCTTCACATTTATTACGTTGAAATGTCGAATCGCAACGCATTCCCCTCTTCCATCGTGCTAAGGGAAAGCTGGGTGCTACCACAAACTTTTTCACAAAGTTCGGACTGGCATAATAAGCTATTTAAATTTATAAATTACACTGGTTTAAAGCCTGGCTTTAATCTGCTACCCACTTTAAATCGATGTTTTTGACATGAATAAATCGGATTGCTGCCTGCCACGTCAGTTGTGCCCTGGTGCTACGATGCGACGGCGCATGTAGTGAAACGCGTCGTAGTAAGAGTAGTTAACATCGGTCCTGAACCGCGAATCGACAATTACCTGCAGTTGCAATTACGGGCCCAAAATCGAAGATTTCTGGGCAAATCAAGAATCTTAGACAAACTGGTTGAGCATCAACCATTCACTTCAGCCTGTCAGCTTCTCAGTGAGAGCCGAAGCATGACAGACGTGAACCAGGAGGCCAGCATGCTATATGAGTGAATAATTAGAGGCATATCTGCATTCGATGCGGGTTATTTCCTTCACGATGCAATAACCAGTGCCTCTTAGCAAAAGTTATGAAAAGCTGCGAATACAGCGTACATCACAAACCAGAGACGTTCTGTTTACGTAAACGGTTCAAGGTGGTTATCAGAACAAATTAACACCTCGTACTTGGAAAAACAATTTTAATAGAAATGAAGCGTTCAATCGAAACAACGTAGAATCCATAATGATTTCCATTATTAGAATGCTGGCAACGTACAACATGAACGTAAGGTCTTTTATAAGATATGGTTTATTTTTAAGTATACACATGCCTACGGGTAGTAGCATAACTGCAAGTTATCCGAACAGGTCCTTGTTCGGCCCTGCATAGTGATGCGGTTATGCGCCCGTCCACCGCAGGTGCACAAACACCTCGGAGCCGTGAGCTACTTCAGTGGCCCCTAGGCCACTAGAAACAAGGGGCCGATGCTTTCGCCGCATCAATCCGGTACAAAAAATGAAAAGGATTACATTTTTGCTGAGGTATCAATAACTAACAGTATACTAGTAACCTCATAAGGTTGGGTTTCAGTTTTTTGTATAGCTATACCTACGGATTGTTGCATATCTGCAGGTTATCCGAACAGATCCTTGTTCGGCCATGTCTAGTGATGCGGCATTGCGTCCATGCACTGCAGCAGCTCAAATACCATGGAGCCGCGGCCTGCTTAAATGCTCTCCTTGGCGAATAGACGCAAGGGGACGGTGCCATTACACCGCTTCAATTCGTAGTGGAAGGAGAAAACATAAGGTGTTTTCTGCCTTAATTGCAAAACCTTCGTGACATGACACCTAAATTAGCCTCATGTACCAAGTCGCCGACAGCAAAAACTGTTACTCTAGTTTTTTGGTTTACTGCAATGTCGATCGACTCTTTCCTTAATAGCTCTACTTGTCCGAATGTTGCCCTGTCATCGCTGCCTTAAAAAATAACCGTTTTGAGGGCTTGAATGATAATTTCTAAATGGCTAATTTCATGCGTTGATGTGCGTTGACTTGAAACGCATAGTGACGTAAACGGCCGAAAGCTGGCCGGGGTGCTTTAAATTAAAATCTGACCCGGTTTATGATTAGCGCTTCTCTACGCGATATAAGCGAGCTACCATATGGTTCAAGGAGCACTGTGGTCATTAGTCCTCGAATAGCATGACCGTACGTTAAGTGAATTTTTACGGGGTCACTAGAGGGCACCACGATATTCCTACTGTTTTCGGATTACGCCAGAGCGTATCCAGATCTGCACATCCGTCCTCTACTCAAAGGTTGTAGAGCATAATGCAAAGAGTAGGGGATCTTCAAAAATATGTGCATGGCGCTTAATTCTTCCGTCCGGGGATTATGGCTACCTTACCATGAAAGATTGGTCGTAAAACCATGAGAAGATGTGAATCAAGGAGAATAGGATCTTTAACGGTTAGGATGTTATTCTCTTTCTCCCCTCTCACACTCTAACAACGGGCGTCGTTTGCTGAAGGCGTTGTCTGTGAAATCTGTGGTGCGGTGACTATGTCAATATTGACGCCATCGATTGGAGGTGTCTTGTTTTGAAGGAACGGCGTGATGACTCAGCTGACTTGACCGCTGCATCACTACGAAATGGGCAAAGACATGAGCATCACTGTGGCTGTAAATGAGACGATGTCGTCCATTCTTGCATCTTCTCCATTGCGTGACTATCCGATTGCGTTGACGATTAAATTTGGACCTTTGAGGCTGAGCATAATCTTTCAGACGGTAAATACGGTGAATTGAATCATATACTGTACGAAAATTAATGAATGTGACGCATCAGGAAAAAGGACCGTCAATATTGCTCGATGACTCGATATATGAACTTTAATTTTGACCCAATGCACCCTCGTTACTACGGGAACTATGACTAAAGCATAAGCATTTTACTGTCAACCATACTACGGACATGTGATTCAAGTGGTGAAAAGGGAAAAATATTCATGTTACCACTCATAATGTCAATGATGAGGAAATATTTTCAGTGTTAACCTCTTACTGCCTCTGTCTCCAAAGTAGGTAAGATGCAATCCGTTCTTTCGAGGGGAAACAAAGTTTACTGCTTGGAATCACTCTACGTTATTTATGAGCAAATTTATTTTATCAGCTGATAGTTTGCAGACTATCGCATATACAGAATGGCTATAAACTCATTGCAAAATCGTATCATTAAATTATTTCTTCGGTGGTGCCCAAACCCAACTACCCTGTTCATAAAATCTTGGCAACCCTAATTTAATATGCACGTATGCATTTAGCGTTGCCCTTATTTACTATGCTAACAAAATGTTGTAAAAGGCTTTCCATTAATACCAAGCGGAATTGTCTTGACCTTCGAATATTTAGTTTTTATACTCCTTAATCAAAATGCTTAACGGTATCGAATAGAAAATAAGTTCTTTATCAACAGACACGAATTTTAGTCAGACTTTAATGGATATTCTCCCGGACTTTTTCATTATGTTGTACTGCTCCACGGATGATGAGCTGCCGTTTCAGCCTCTCAGTGAATTCTCAACTACCCCATCGATAATAGTCAATGTTATGCCAATATATTTTGGTAATTATGCTTCTACCATTCTTTGTTTATTTTTGACAATTGAGTATTAATCGGACTAATCGTTATTTTTCATTTTATTTGTTTTTCCTTCATTTTATCCACGACTTGCTTAGGAATGTGAGGGAAAAAATGAAAGATATTGTCTGGACTTATTTTTCACATTTAATGCCAAGAATTTCGTTTTCGTTGACAAATAAGACTATTTGGTCATTATATTCATGCAGCTAGCATTAAAACCGCAAACTGAAAACAGCTATTTAAAACGATCGATCGATTTAGACTGGACTAGATTAGATCGATCGATCGATCGAACAATCGCCACCTAATCCATGGAAATGAACAAGGTTACATTCGCAGCGACGTTCGCAAAAATGAACAAATCGACAAGAACATGTTTCACACTGTAAATCTTTGAAATATTTCTATTGTCGTGCTTAAAAGCATATTTGAGGCGAAAAAATATCGTGAATCTGATGGAATGAGCAATGATCTGCTCAAGGAGGATTTGTTCACTTGTTTTGTCATCATCATCTTTAGTCGTTTCGTAAAACCGCAAGTTACATAAAGTCTGTGATACCCTGTTAATGAAGGTTTAATGATTATTCCCGGCGTAGGGTCAGTCAGTCGATTGTCATATGCTTGATGACAATCCCGAGAGCAGCACAGCTACGAGATGTCAATCGAGTAAAGGCTAAATAATTGAAAACCACAACTGTCTGTTAGAGTAAAATGATTGGCAGGAAACGACCGAGAAAACACCATTGACGTCCACTGCTCTGATTGCACAAACTCGATGCGAACGTCTTCAACTTGAACGACTAGATGTTCGGCTGATCATGAAGAAAGACATGCAAACAAACGCCGTTGACATGGAAAAAATCACCCTAAAAACAGCACCTGCAGGCGATCCCGAAATGATAAATCACCTCATCGACATAAGCAGTTTTCCAAACTGGAAGGTGCAGATCCCGGCGATAGTGAAAGCAACATGGGCGGGTGGGGCGAGTACGATTGACAGCTCTTACGATGAAGAGTACGATTTAGAATGAACTGGAAATCCGAAAACTAGTACGGCAACTTTCGCACTGCCGATTCCGCTTTTAACAGCATCAACCAGTATTGGTGGCATATAAAGCGGTCGCCACAGTCATACTCCTGTTAGGGTTGCCTCGTCGATGCTGGTCAATTATCTGATTGACCATATTAGTTTTTGCGATTTGTATTCATAGAACGTTTTATGCTGTTTTTAGATTTGATTCGTACTATGATCAGCTTTGGGAAAGCAGCTCACGTAGAGCAACACTGCAAATCTTCAGAAACTCACTAAACTAATTAGCTAATTAAACTAGCCAAAATCATTCTGGTTTCTTAAAATCATCACTGTTCGAAGTTTGACATGGCATCTGTGAGAAACAGCTATTGAAATGCACTTCGATTGCAGGAATATCTGTAAGGAAAGCATAGTTGAACCGGTCTCTAGTTGTAACATTGTTGTGGCTAGTTCTGCATTTGAATCGTCAGCAAAGGCCGTGAGCGACTGTTGTTTCATGCTGGTGCTTTCGTTTTCGACATCATTCCTTTTCGGTTAGCAAGCTGTTTCACTTTATCGACTATTTATGAATATTAATAGATATTGGTTTATGTTTACTTTGAATGACGGGACCAACTATAGGTCGACTACGCTAAACCCTTCTTGTGCAAAGTATATGTGCTGTACACGGTGTACGTAAGCGAAATAACTGCGAGGGTTACGCCACCATGGAATCCTGATGTTGCACATCTCTAAACCGCTCCATTTTTAACCATATAACTGAAAGAGGGCTTGTGTTGATCTGGAATCGAACTCGTCGAAAGCATTAAGTCCATCAAGCTCTATTTTAGCCTTTTTTCTGAGCCCATTTCGAAACCTACTTTGAGCTAAGTAAAACATTGAAATATGACTGATGCCATAATAAAAGTTCTGAAATTTCTCTGGGGGGGAACAGAATTCGTTTCTTCTACTAAGCAAGTGTTACGGATGAAAAAAACTTGAAAAAAGAAAACAGGCGAACTGCTGATGAATTTGCTTAACATGCTTCATTCCGGTTTCGAAATACTCAAAGAATTTTGCTACGTGCACTCTTCGGCAGTGTGACAAACGGGTTTTTTACTAAAAATCATTTTAAAGCAGAATCTGACGTTCGGATCAGGCTCGATTCGTGTTCATAGATGTGGCAAAACAGAACCTGCATGAAAATGATGCCCTGCATTGTAACTCTGAAAACGAACCGAGTTGGTCCAAAACGTCAGCTACTGTTGCAAAACTATTGTAAGTAGAGAATTTTTGCGTTATTTTCACGTTCACACATGACATTCCCAAAACACATTGCCATCAACCGCATAAACAACTTTTGTACTATTTTAAGAGTACCACCTGAATCACAAGGACGACAACTCTGGCTATAATGCTTTCAAAAATCATGCAAGTTAAGGTTGGATCTGGCAACGACTTGAAACGAAACGCTGGCCTGTGAAATGTTTCTCTTTGCAAACTGTGTCAGAAGCCAAGTTTTGAAACTTACTGCGGAGTTTAGTGCTACTGATGCAGCGGGCGTCGGCAGAGCAGCTTAGACGATACATTCGTGTAGTGGTTGATCGCTCGCCCAGCGCCCAGTGTCACGAAAACCTGTCCTGACAGCTTCTAAGCGATTCATAATCATTATATTCGTTTCATGTTTACTGAGTTTATCATTAGAATTTTTTTTCCTTTGTTTACGAAGTACGCATACTTGAAGAGATTTAAGGCGTGATCCAAAAATACACGGCCGTTTCATCCAAACTTGTACCAAAAATTTCGCGCGTTTCTGGCTACCTCATTTAGACGGCGTTTGTCAACCTGCAGAACATGCGACGCTCCACGAGAAATGCATATTTTGGGTACCTGATAGAGAATGATGTTAACGAAATAAATGACGCTGTCAGGATAAAACTGGTGTTATATAATGCAGATTTTAGAACTTGCGTAACTACAAGTTTCGATGTTAAACATTTGAAAAGATCAATATTTCTTGTGAGAACGGCCGCACCTAATATTTTGCATACTTAACCTCACTTATCGTCTGTCAAGATTCAGTGACGTAGAATGCACACAGCCAACAACCAAATTAAAAGCCGTTTTTAAACTAAGATCTGAAATTAGGTTCTGAAATACATAATCAAACGAAGAAAACAATATCTCTGAACAAGTCAATAAAATAACTTACTGCTATGCATGGCCAAGAAAGGAAAGCGCGACTGTCACAATTTCATTCTCCCGTACGTTTCTGCGAAGAAAATGTGTACAGCACCTTTCCTATATTGAGTTTTCAAAGGAGCGCTAATCTCGTTACAATTTCATTACCAAAGAATGTCACAATTTAATTTATGGAAACAACCGCTGCTTCGTGGTGGTGCTACTACTTATACTGATGCATTTACTTCTGACGGATGAAAAACGAGTTATTAACGCTAGCATTAGAGTCTACGATTTTTCGACTGAGTCGAACGTTCTACCTATTGAACAACCTGTGCCATGCATAATAGGTATATGTTTGACATTTTGAATCTCAGTGGCATGAGGCACGATGGAAAAGAGGTTGCCTTTGAACGATGGCAGCGCTGTGCTCCAGTCTTGAGAAAGGACGCAATTTGTCATAACCGGTAATTCCCTAGTTTCGGCGCAACCAGCCGAGAAACTGGTTACAAGTTGTTTACTTGCGAACAATAAGGACATCTTGGTATTTTAGTGTTGCCATACTAGAATGGGCGAGGAGAACGGCCACACTGTCTGATTCAAGTGCCCACTACAGCTACAATTCGCTTGACTCACCTGATAGCTTACTGTTAAGTGTGATAATCAGCATAAGGTGCAACCCTGAAAAATCATAACTCACATTTTAAATAGAAACTGATATCTCTAAAACTTTTCAACACTTGATCTCCCTTGTAAATACCGGATAATGTTTATAAATGAGCACATACCATCGGGACATTAGAGCGTCGACAGCAAATGCCGATTCCAATGAACGCTATATTTCATAATTCCACTGCTTGGATTCGATTTGTTTCAGAAAAATATGACATTCCTCGAGTCATGCCATATCACTCTCTCACTATTAGCATGAACGGAAGTTGATGCTCCTGAAATATGTCCATGGACCTAAAATGAAACCGAACAATATCTGACAACCGAATGCCACAGTTGAAGTTCCGTCGCAATATATCTGCGAAACAATGCTCTCTCGAACATGTCTACCTGTCATAGGAAGAACAATTCAAACTGCCAACCAGGAACTGATGATTACCAAACTGCCGGGAACGTGAATTTGATGTGTTTGAAGCACATTAACGCCCGAGGGCCTTGAGAACTGATTATTGGGCGGCTCTTTGACCGGATGTCGTAGAGTTGCTTTTGAAAGCAATGGCGAACAGACCAGTCACAAGGCATTGATGATGTGCAGCCTATTTTTGCGCGGGGAGGGAGGTTCGACTCTCGCGGTGGACTACTCGCTGGTGAAACCTGTTAAGTGGAGCTTTCTGGAGTTACCCACTTCGCTGAACAACAATTAAGTACGCGAGGATGAATCATATCGATCGATCATTTCTTGACAACTTACTGCATTGTTCGTCAGTTGCTGCGAAGTTTTGGACGGCCGCCAGCGCGGGCAGCGACACGGAGTATCGTCGCACCTCAAAAACTCACGCATTCGGACAATCATTGGCTCATCGTCATCACAGACAAAAACGTTTACGGCGAGTGCTTTTAACACGAACGTAGATCCGTGCCTGTTGTCCAGCTGCAGGCTGGATTCCACAGCAATTAGACTATGTACGGTTCCATTTTCTAATCATGTGGCAAGCTCAGACTTTCGAACAACAGCTCGATCTGCCTACAGCTGCAGTTTAACATGAAACACCTGACGTCATCCGTAAGCAGATCTGTCAAAAAATGCGCTGCATTTTACATAACATCGATTTTAACATCGATTTTTTACATAACATCGATTTTAACATAACATCGATTAACATGCCAAGAGGTAGCTGCACCCGCTTGATATTGCTGAATCTGCCTTACTGTCAAGGTCAAAAGAAAAAAAGGAAAATTGTGACCTTCTCTATGGTGATTCAGGATCATTCACCTCCTGGGTTACAAAAACCAGCAATTAGATATAGCAGTGCTGTTTAATCCCAGTGGTCAATAAAGCATGACCATCTATCATCATTCGCTCTACAGGACAAATCGATAAAGTACGATATATCATATAGGTGTTTAACATCGATCGCAACTTTGCAATAAATTCTAGAAATTACCCTGCCATTCCATAAATAGTCGTCACTTTATCATCATAGGCAGTTATAAGTTCTTCAGTTTTTAACGATGGCGTTTAACAAATATTGAAGTTATTAGTCACAGCATGTCAGAAATTTCAGAGGACAATAACGTTAAGACAGTAAACATAACGCACTTCAGATTAAGCATTTGCATTCGATACCCGAAAACTGATCGCGACAGGAAGATGGAAGACAGTGTTACTATTGATTCCAAGTATTATCGCCTCAGCAGCTTAGAATTGTCCTTTGTTAAAGTTCCTTTCATTATGGGTGCATCGGAGAAAATTCGTCTCATTTTAAAAAGGAATGGATTTAAAGTCACTTCCTTAAGGGTAATATTCTAGATCTGCGATACATAAAAAGTTTTATCCTCATTTT